TCTATTTACCTGACAAAAGTTCTGAGGATGTCTGAAATTTTCCATCTAATTTCTTGTAATGCAGCAATAGACATTTAACTTTTTATTTTAATTACTCTATTAGTTTGGCTAAGGCTCCTTCTCTAACCAGGCTTATTAACTTCAGGATCACAGTCCTAATACGATGTCCATTAGTATCATTCCTGGTTCTTGTTTGTGGTTTAATTTTGTAACATATTTTTACATGGCTGCGTTGTTAGCCCTCAACCATCGGGGACTGCTCCTTTAAGCTCTCTAGGTAGAGCCTTTATTTTTTGGATCCCCCAACTTCCAAGATTCTATTTTTGTCCACCCCTGGTATTTTATTTCGTTAGTAGTCATCATATGCTGTAGGTTTCCCTTATCTGCCACCTAGTGAGGCACTGGATGGAAGATAAATATGTACAAGAACTTACCCCACCTAATCATCTAAAAGGTTTGATGTCCTCCTAATGGAGGAGTTAAAAATGAAAGGTTCTTTTCAACTCACCGCCCTTTGAAATGTAAATACATGCCTATCTCTGAGTTAATATGTCTCCCATAATCTTCAAACTGCACCAAGTTGGGTGTCACCTTGTGATTTGTATGCATGTGGGGTGTGTACATAAGGTGGGTTGTACGCCCCACATTGGAAAACAATTCCATTAACCAAAGAGATGTTGTAGAATAGATTAATTATGTAAGCCTACAATATTATATAAGTAGTATTTTAGTGGAAAGAGAAGATTGAACATTTTTTAGTGTAAATCATTTACAATGCAAGTGAATAAAAAGCAAAAAATTATAAAGTATGGCATTCAACACAGATCCTCAGGAATAATCATTAATTTTGAGCATGTTCTAAATCTTAATTTACTCTAGTTACTACAGTTATTAACTCTCAAAAAACACCAGATTTTTCAATTTGTTGATATTGCAACTATCAAAGTGTCTCATAGGTGTAATTTTGTAGCTTACGGTAATTGCATGCTCTTATATTGATATTAGGTGATGCTCTTTAATTGATATTAGGTGTTTGTTCAAAATATACTTTCCAAAATTGATTTATTATTATTTTTAGGCAAAACAAAACATATTTGAGTCGACAAAACATAGCAATCACAGCTTTACAAAGAAGGAAAAAAAAAGATTGTTTCCAATTATATTAGTAAAATTGATATTTTATATTTTATTACCATATACTCGATACTACTAACACTACAACAAATATTCATTTTTCAAAAGAATAGACTCACTTTGTGGACAACGTATCAATCAAGGAAATAATGCCACAAAAAGTCTAAATTATAATTTAAAATAAAATAATGTTCAAACATATGCATGTAATTATCACTTAAAAAATTATTAGTAAGAATTAAATAAAAATAAAAGCTAAGAAAAAAGTTACATTTTTATTTTTTATTTTATATCAGAGATATCGATCAGATTATCTAATTGGTC